AAGAAATAGGTATTTAATAGAACTTTAACATTTAAGAATTTTCCCTTTTAATTTTGCAAAACAACACAAGCGTCGCACATTGACAGAACAAAACGTCAAATATGACAGTGACATTTGACAATAGACAATAACAAATACTACAGATTATACAAGGAGAAAAACTTTTAATTTGAAAATAAAAAACATTTGGTTTTGTCCTTGCCTTTTTCTAAACTAACATTTGTTTTCTTTTTCAGTGAAACGGTGTAGCAAATATTAAAAGATTTGTCACAGTGGCGGTGTTATTACAGTAAGTTCTTTGAGCAAATGCAAAAATTGAACGACCTAGGACTAGATAGAAGATACTCTACACTACACTCTCTAAAGGTTGTCGTTATAAACAAATTTTAGGTAGGGCCGCAATGTATAGGGATAGGGCTTTTGTGCCCTATAAATAAAATCGTAATTGATTTTCCCTCGAACTGTGGACCAAAGGCATGCTAATAAAGGGTATTTCCTGTCACGTCACAAAATAAAAGGCTATTTTTGTATCTTAAACTATGGATAAACCTATAAAGTATAATTCAACGTAGTTTTTGGCAATCTTAATGCGCATTGTGATTTTAAGGTAGCGCTAATGTGGCCCTGTTTGACGATAATACCTCAACAGCTACGGCTATGCTCGACATGTAACACATAATTTGTTGCTTTACGGAAGTCTACACTGTTGTTATGCTTGTCTTGATGATGTTTGTATTTATATGACACGAGCTGTTGCCCGCGACTTCGTCCGCGTGGTATTCTAAAACATACAAACTATATAAATTACAAAAAGCTACGTATCCCTCGGGAACCGGACATTTCTTGGGGATGAAGCTTATCCCATGTGTACTCCAGACTTTGTTTTATATCTGTGCCAAATTTCAATAAGATATGTTGAACCGTTGCAGAATGATTGAGTAAACATTAAAAAACTAAATTAATGAATCCCACGGGAACCGTAACTATTCCCGGGATAAAAAGTAGCCTATGTGTTCTTCCAGACTATGCTCTAAACCTATGCCAAATTTCGTGGAGATCCGTTCAGCCGTTTAGGTTACAAACGCTAACAAACATCCATCCATCCATCCATCCATCTAAACTTTCGCATTTATAATATTAGTAAGATTAGTTTTATTTTTTTAGTAAAAGGGTAAATAAATATGATAGATTTTTAATGTTTATTTATATTTATCTAAATAAGAAATAATGACTAATAACATTTGCTTCTTATTTGATATGAAAAAAATATTTTGTACATTGCAAAATACACACATTAATTTCGTAACAAAATTTTATTCATCGATTTTGGTACTCGACAATACATTTTAACTTGTATTGCAAATAATATGGAGGTCTGTATTTTTCTTATAAACTAGATTAAAAAGTATAATATGTACCATTTAAATTCTATCATACTTAAATATAAACATAAAAAATTACTTAAGATAACTACTTATGGCAGTTTACAAAAATAAAATAATAAATAAAGATTTTCCTCTAAAAATACGTCCATTTAAATAGTAGGGTGTAATCCAGAATGAAGATATTCCTCGGAAATATGTAGCGGTTTTTGCGTAGCTTCTTTGGTTGTGTAATGACGTAATGACCGTGAATATAACAACTTATTTGATAAGAAATAGCTATAGCATGTGAATTTAATATTAATTGTAGTTTGATACAAGCACAATAAAACCTGGCAGCTATTTAACTAAGTGTACATTTATTTTGCCTTACATTTGTCCTATAACGAAGTTCTGACGTGTCTCCGGCTATCGAATGGTAATCTATTAGAAATGTTATTGTTTAATGGTATACCGTGATTCAAAGACAAAACTTTTGTAACAATATTTAAATCTTCATGAGTTTTCCCATTAAGACCTGTTTCGACTAATAATTGTTTTAATTGTGCGTCCGCATTAAATTGATTTTGTCTGTTCGGTGGAAAAAAGTGGTTAGTATAAACTGGACTGAAAGTATTAAATCTATTGTATTCTCCATTCAATCCGAAATTGCCAACACCACTCTCTTGTCGAAACACTCGATTACCATGTTTTTGTCTTGTTAAATCATCAGTTAGTCTTAATTGGTTGAAGTTTGGTCCTTGGTGAAAAGGGCCTTGGCTGGGATTTGGGTGAAGAAAGTTGGTAATTCCTTGGGGTAGATGATTTTCTTGCAGAGGGAATTGCTCAGGTCGCTGACTACGGAGATGTATAAGAAAATCCACAGCTTCTCTATTAGGCAGCTGCTGTTGATTGGCTAGCAGGTTCACTTGCTCTAAGTGTACACTCGGTTGAATCGATACCTGGGAATTCTGACTTTGCAATGTAGTGCTTGGATTTAAAAACCTATTTGATTGCAAACCTTTCTGTCCCTGAAAACCGCCTAAAATCTGGTTTGATTGGATTTTTTGTTGCTCAACAAGAAGTTGATGCCTTTTCAACTGGTCTTGTTCGTACAAAATTTGTTGCTGTCGCTGTGCTTCTTTTTGTTGAATTAACAATTGCTGCTTTCTTAGTAAATCCTCTTGCTGTCTTTGTTGAAGTTGTAATAACTGAAGCTGTTCTTCGAGAATTCGTTGTTTCTCTTCAAGCTGTTTTTGTAACAATATTTGTTGGGATAAGAAGTTATTCTGAGCTATCTTATTCAAGTTTCTGTTATCGATCGGAAAACTTTGAGTTAAAATTTGTGGTGGTAAAATACCTGTTGGTACATTTGTAGTCGATTGTGACTTCAAGACTTCTTGTATATTTGTTTGTTGGTAAATCGGTACAACTTTCTTTGGATGCCCTAAGACATCTTGGTGAACCGTGAACGCTGCAACCAGAGGAGCTTGGAAGACTTGAACATCTTTTTTGTCAACCTCTTCAATGTTTTTACCATCTAAATCATGAGTCGGTTTTGGAGTTGTGGTCGTTGTAGTTGTGGTCGTGGTGGTCGTTGGTTTTGATGTGGAAGTTGACTGTTTGGTATAAATTTCAATTTTCGGACTTTGTTTCGTTCGTAAATGAGAGTAATTGGTACTTTCTTTGGTTTGAAATATCTCTGTGTAAGGATTTTGAGTTGGGAGAGTAGCTGTTACTTGGTTTTCAACATTTCCTACTGTCGTGTCTAAAATAGATACATTACTCTCGAGTAACATGGGTGTCGCGTCTGTGCTATTTGTAAAGGCAGATTGACCATTAACTATGTATGAATGTATTTGTATGCCATCCTTAGACGTTTGTGCTGTTGTTAATTCTTCATTTTCCTTTAAATATTCTGTCTGCGCTGTTGGATTCACAACAGTTGATTCCGTTTCCGTGAAGCTATCACTTTCTTCAAGGTCAGTCAGAGCTTTCAACAGTGCTTTTCTTATGTAAGGATCCAACCTTACTGAAGGTTTCGGTTCTAAACTGTTAAGATTTTCATTATTAGTATCATATACTGTGCTTTCTTCCGCTAAACTCAATGAGAATAAAGCTAATAATATAGCTACAGGCACCTGAAACAAGAGATATTTCATATTAGTTTGATATTTTTAATAATTTGAATATGTAAATTCCCGAGTCTACTATTTTCCGGTGACATATACCATAGATTACTTAACGATGGGGATTTTTTTGTTAATTAAGAATGCACGATCAACTTCCACGATACCTTAGTTAGAAGTTTTTAGTCGTTTTCAGTTACGTTCTTTGTGTTACGCAGAACAATGACTCTCCTAATGGTTGGATTACACAATATATCATCTTAAATGTGGAATTTACGATCAGCGTAAAAATATATTGTCAATAAACTTTACTAATCACTAATGCTAAAGAATTATTTCCATTTCCAAATGGTTATATTTCACTAAAATACCTACAAAAGTTGAAAAGAAGCGGTTTTATTTCATATTATGATAGTTAAAATACGAGCATACTTAAACCAAACTTAAAATATTAAAATATTAAAATGTCATTAAGTTTATTCAAATGATTATACTTAGATATTTTCTGTTAACATATTTACTTAGTTTATTAGTAAAATGTGCGTGTATATATAATTATTTTTTTAGAGAGAGTTGTATACGATAACGCAATCAACGTTTCTTCCATTACAAAAACAATTGATTTCAACACTATTCTTGTCAAAACTAATCACAACGCATTTCTTTCCGACATCACCATCCTTTATACTAACTTATCATTCATCTCGAGTGAAAGTTGAAGACGCTTTTAGTTTTGTACACAACGAATTTAAATATTGTTAATAATAAATCACCAGTTATAGCGGAAGACATTAAAATATCAGTTTTGAGTTATTTTATGTTAAATGAATCGATTTCTCTAAATTTGATAAGATGGATTCAATCTATGGTCGTTAAACTACTAGGCATAAAATAATCAGGTTTTTTTTAATGAAACTTCCCTTTCTTGGTTCTTTGTCGTTTCTAGAATCGATGTGTTGATATTGTTGGGAAAGTTAACAATAAGACGTGACCTTTGACATCGCTCGAAGCGGTTCTTAACATTTAAAAAATGTAGGTAAGTGTTGTAGCTCTCCAATGGAAGGAGGCTACGGTAAATATGTATGTAATGTCGTAATCTTTTTTACTGTGGGTTTTTACAAACAGTAGATTGTATTGTCATCCTTGTCATAATCGTTAAAAAAGAAGCAACCAATTTATTTTTGTTAGATTCCACAGTTTAAACAAATATAGTACGAATTACTCAAGATTATTCTCATAAAGTTCAAGTCTACTTTCACTACAAGCCATGAACTAAGTAAAGGTTCAAGTACCAAGATTATATCTTTCATGTCTTGTACTGTAAGTCTGAGCAAAGTAACCGTTTCTAGTCTGCAGTTAGTTCTATGTATCCTAAGGCAAAGTTTAAACGGATAGTACGAAAGCGGTACCATTTTCTCTCTCCTTTGACCCTATGTATGATTTAAAAATATAGACTTTTTACAATTTATGGGGATATTTAAGTATAACTATATGGTGTGTTGTATACTAATGCATTCTATAACTATCTATACTATTATAATAAAGCGTAAACACACACTTCTTTGTTGCCTACGATGTCAGCAATCACAGCATATTTTCGAATAACTCTTTTTCAATAAAAAGCCCTACACTTACGTCACACTTTAGGCCTTATATTTTCACGCCGTTAAACTTGGGGTAAATATGTGGATATAAACCCTAATGTGGGAAAGAGACCATAAGTTGTTGCCAACATCAAGGAAGCAAGGAGAACATCACGTCATGTCATTCTGACATTTCCTATTGATAATTTGACACATGTCAACAAAAAAATTAAATTTTTATAATTTCATGCGGATGAAGTCGCATGGGAACAGCTAGTATTACGTACATTACGTGACATAACATTGTATGTTATCGGTTTATGTATTGACAGTTTGTTTAAAATAGAAAAACTTTAAAGTCCACACGTTATGGAATGTTTACAAATGTTTTCACATTTCTCACGCCGCAGCCCCCACATAATTGTGTAAGAGGTTTTTCAAGTCTGTATCTTCAACTCGTTACGCATTAATTCCTTTAGTTGTACACATTGAATGCGAAAATATTTATGAGAAACAATCAAGATAAAAAAATGCACATTTTATCAATAGTACGTAATTTGTCAGGCCAACAGAGGACTTGATTATAAAACCTAACTCTTTTTAATCTTGCAAAGAAGTTGTATTACGAGTCCAATCTTGTCTTATTAATTTAGTCAAATAAATAATTGACTGCAAGGTCATTGATACCATATTCTTATAAAGATAATTTACTGCATCAATATTTAATAATCAATTGAACGCTAGCCAAGTATATTTAAGAGCTATTGAGTTAAACGTATCTTTCACCTGTCTCTAATTGTACTCGGCAACAATTTCTCTCAATACTTAATAATGTAAATGCAATTAAGCTGTCGTTCCCACATCCGATGCGACTCGAAGCACGAACCGTGCGTGACTTGTGAATCTAATACGTCCAACAGATATGATGCATTGTTCTTTACAATCATAAAATGTTACTAGTGGTCTGGCTAAAGGAATTCGTTTCATAAGAAAAGTTTTAAATCTTTTATACTTTTTCAACAATAGCGTAATAAACGTGAGTAAAGTTTGAAAAAGTAATTATTCTCCAGACGAATACAAAACCTTTAGTTTTATTAAATATGTCAAAAAGGAAATATTTTACTAACTATAACAATTTAGAAAATTGTTATACTCCCGAACTATAAGTTTCCAGTTACAAAACAAATTCGTCAGTTCAAGCAATAAATAGTAACAGAAGACATTGTTAAAGAAATCGTATTAATAATCGAATCCAAAATAATCGAGTCATATTTCATCTTACAACTATTGTAAACATTATATGAACAAATGAGTAAGGATAAAAACTCATTTTAAAGTTGTACATTTCATGCCTTGCGGAACAAGATAAACGCGTCGGCATTCGGTAAACGACAGACATCATCACAGCTATTTCATATGCGCACAATGCTACGTAATTACATAATACTGCACCAACTGGTAGGTAATTTCACTTTCTATGGGTGGAGATTATTTTCACTGTAAATGGAAACGCACACGTCTATAGAACTTGTATCAGGACATTCTTTTCGTTGGACAAATTGTTCCTTAAATAATTCGTCTTCGTTTGTTTCTGGATTTGCAAAGCCAGTGTAATTATTCGCTGAAGCAACAACTTTTTAATTGACATAATTTAATATATGTCGAATCACTGAAGAGGTGTTCTTTGACAAAATATACGGAGATTTTTTCAAGAGTCTATCAATAGGTAATTTTTCGAATCACTCATACCGGTCTCCTTAATTTAAAACCCCCTCATTAAGCACCGATAATTCGTAGTGCTGTAATGTAAAAGTCATTCATAAAATTAATATAAATGTCGGCGATAACTTCAACAAAGACCCCTCTAGTCGTCATTACAATCAGTTACATGAGAGCCTTATTCAAGCTCGAATTGACTGGATTAAAGTCTGAATACATAATGCGGTCTTTGACGAAGACCGGGACATTATAATGACGCGTGAATCGATATTAATCATTACGTGCTCGCTTTGTGTACGTGCTTGGGCAACGCAGCGATAATCGTAGCTTTATTTAATCCATACATTATTGTAGGTATGCCATTTAAGATTTGTTCCGATCTAATTTGTTCAAGCATACTTATTCCAGTCATTTAAAAAAAAAAATTAATAACAATTGCTTACTCGATGAAATTTTGGAATTTTTCAAAATTGTGCAACATTGTTTATGACCGAAGATTTCTTCGGAATATATTTACGTTTTATCACTGCAATATGCAGATGTGATGCACGGATCGTGACTATTACGTGATAGGAAAACATTTTATTGAAACAACAAGGTATTAAAACTCAAATGTTAGATGTGAAGTTTTCGAAAAACATGATTCCATTGGCTCCTTGGTTGGTTAGATGAGGTACAAAACTAAAAAATACATGGCCTGGGATTCAATTAAAAAAGTTATGACTACGTGTAGGAAGAATTAAAGTTATCTTATTGTCGATACATAAATACCAATAGCAAAGTAACAGTTTACTTTCAGATAAAAACCCAGTAAGTAATATTAATTAATGTTGTTAATGTAAGTCTGATTTATTGTAGGTATAGTAAAGGTAAAACGTGATCAAATCGTTATGGTCACTAACAAATCTCTATCTTTTCTCTAAGTATATTGTATTGCTTCATTTGTATGTACTTTAAAATGTTAAACTCAAATTAAGATAATTAATCTTTTAGGCAGCTCTCGACATATACAATGTTTACGAAAATTGCGTACACTTGATACTTGTGAGTGTGTAAAAATGCGTTCCACAAACGGCTTGTTAATAGTTATTGGCAATAAAACAAAATTTCCTCAATCTGCGGTCGATGTGTAGCTTTCTAAGGCAGTACGACGAAATACAATAGCCAGTTGCATGCGGTTCTTGCAACTCTGACGTAAATATCCGTACATGCTATACGAATAGAAATGGTTCGGTACGTGTCCAGAATCGTAGGGGTCAAAATGTTAAATAATAATGTTACATAAAATTGCATTCAGTGCTTCTTTAAATGTTTGTCATAATAATACTGTGAGAGTATTTCTTGAATTATAAATTAAAAAAACTTGTTTCTGAAATTTTTATTTCAGTTACTTTTGACTTAATTGCAATTTAGTGGTAAATGTTATCATACTTTATACTAATAATAATATTATAAATGCGAAAGTTTAGATGGATGGATATTTGTCAGAGTTTGTAGCCTAAACCGTTAACCGGCTTTTGATGAAATTTGGTATAGATGTAGAGGATAGTCTGGAAGACACATAGAACACATAGGCTACACACTTTTGATTTTTTTAAGTCCACGCGGACGGCGTCGCGGGCGAAAGCTAATACTTAATAAAACCAATTTAGTTATGAAATAGTTTGTATTATTAACTTAACAGACAGTTTAGTTTAAAAGATTAATGTT